AGTCAGAGCACACCTCGCTTTTTCAGACCGATGAGCTTTGTAAAAATCGACGCGTTTCAGAAAGGCGGGGCATAGAGGAGAAACAACAATGTACAGTATGTGGAAAATCATGTGTTTTTTTAACTTTAAACCGCATAAACACATTTCATTACACCAAATACACAAAATACTGTTCTTTTTAGCAGCATCATATGACCCCTTTAACAAAAGTAAGTAGTTCTGGAAAACACAGTGTTTGCAATGTGTGGTTTCATAAGATTGATTTCAATACAGTCTTTAAATGGGTGCTTTTGGTTGTTTGGTTATTTTGTAGCCTTTTGTCATGAGATGCTTGACTATGTGATGTTTTGTGACTAATTTAGTGAATACACTCTAAGCAAAAAAGACCAAGTCGTGTGGTTTACATGGGAAGTGGTCTGACATATCATTAATCTGTGAACATGTGACGTGTAGCTCATCTCTGGTGAGATACAACAATGATAATGAGTGAACTGATATTCATTTTCTGACACCAACATGCTTGAAGCATAAAAAGACACATTTGATGAATAAAAAAAATGTTTAGTCATCCTAAATTAACAAAATTTCAACACAGTCCTCAACTTTGAAAAGAGACACCAAAAATTCTGAAAGTTGACTCTCTGAAGTTTCTGTAGAAATGCCTGCTTCTAGCTTTTCAACCAATTCATGTTCTTACTATAGGGGCATATACTATTTGGTTATATTTTATGACCAAAGTAAAACCTGGTATCATCTATGCCCTGGGAAACAGGATGTAAATGGACAGTCTCAACTCTAGAACAACAGAAAGAACCCATTCAGTGGGTAGTTTCAGTGGAACATCGCCCACCAAAGCTGGAGACAAAAACAAAACGGGGGTAGCAGGTGGGTGGGAGTCATCAACTTCAACAAAAGGGCATTTCCAAGAAGAGATTGCAGGCCACTCTTCCTTATTATACCAAGACCATGTGTTTTTCTTGGCTAAACTGACTGACCATTTGTTCCGCTTTCTTTCCCAAACTATGATGTTATATATGTTTTGGACAAGAAATTATTATCTCTAGTTGTTTGCATGCATCAAATACAACAGAACTGATCTTCTCAAAATATTCTCTCATTTTCTTTAAGTTGATACTGAAAAAATCTATTATGTAATCATCTGTGATAGCGAATCTTCTCCTAGTAGCCTGTATCTCGTACCTGAGAACCCTGTGCCAGTCTGAGCTTGTTTCAGGAATCAGACAGTTTCGACACAGAGAATGTGTGTTGCTCAATGGAAATGGGGAGAGCAGTATGAAAATGTGATGCAAATCTGCCCGAGCAGTCAACAACATATCAACAAAGGAATGACTGCCTGGACTATTTTAGCAGAACACTACTGCTTTGAGTAAAAATTCAAACATACCCAACAGTGAAATGATTGTTATCTCATGAAACTTTTCACTTATAAATAGTTTGGGATTTATGCATACTGGAGTCATGGTCACATAAGTTTATATTTAAATTGAAGTCAGCTTCAACTGTGACAAACATTTCTTAGATTATCTTATATTGACAAACTAGCACTTTCTCCATGATCATCAGTGCTAACATCTCTCTAAAAACTTAGTTCAAGAACCCTCAAAAGCTGAAATATGAAGGGACATGGACAAAGAAACCTCAGAGATATCCTCAAAATCTCCAGTTAGCTACCAATCCAGCAGGTTCCTCAATCTACCATGTCAAAGCTCTTTCTAAAAACTCAATTACTGAAAAAACTGAAAGACTAACAAACCATAGTCTGCAACATGAGCCCCAGCAACAGCTCTCAAACCATCCACGCTACACAATGCTATGACAGGAAGAGGACAAATATTCTTTCTCAGGCCCAGCCCTCTTCTGTTCTCCACGCTAGACCAGCTAGATCAGTTTGGTCCACCCCTCCTGCTCAGCAGGACCTAATGATCCAATTACAGGCAGGGACTTGACGCTGTTTTATGTGAAGAGCCAACCTGACACTACCGGCCTCGCTGCCAACTGTGACAGAAACTCAGGCCTGAAGAGAAGCCCCAAACAAAGCAATCCACAGCAAAGGGGGCTGTGTTTGACTACTAGCCAACTCCAGGTGCCCTGGCTCATTTACAATACAAATCAGGGACGGTCGGGTGGGAAGCATAAAATTGTGTGAGTGGTATTGGTATCTCCATCCTAACAGGGGGTCTGACGAGATAACAAGACTATTAAAGTAAAATCTGATATTGTCCTGAACACCTGAGGTCATATGACATAGGGTGGGGGAAAATTCCCTAGAAGTCCAAGTTTTCAGACCTCCACCAAAAAGCTTTCACATGTGAATTTGATTGAACAGAAAGGATGTACTGTTTGTACTTTGTACTGTTTTTACATTAATAATAACGCATATAAGAACCTTAATATGATAATAGTTGAAATTGTTTGAAATATTACCAAAACATGAATTGTTACCCTAAAGATAGTGCCCATTTGACCATCTGTAACTTCAACCAAGATACTAATTTGCCTAAAACTCTTTCAACATCACTCTTGACCACATGTTTGAACATAATCATGTAAAAAAAGAAAAAAAAAAATTACTGTTTTCTCTACGATATGAAGGGACATGGACAAAGAAACCTCAGAGATATCCTCAAAATCTCCAGTTAGCTACCAATCCAGCAGGTTCCTCAATCTACCATGTCAAAGCTCTTTCTAAAAACTCAATTACTGAAAAAACTGAAAGACTAACAAACCATAGTCTGCAACATAAGCCCCAGCAACAGCTCTCAAACCATCCACGCTACACAATGCTATGACAGGAAGAGGACAAATATTCTTTCTCAGGCCCAGCCCTCTTCTGTTCTCCACGCTAGACCAGCTAGATCAGTTTGGTCCACCCCTCCTGCTCAGCAGGACCTAATGATCCAATTACAGGCAGGGACTTGTTGACGCTGTTTTATGTGAAGAGCCAACCTGACACTACCGGCCTCGCTGCCAACTGTGACAGAAACTCAGGCCTGAAGAGAAGCCCCAAACAAAGCAATCCACAGCAAAGGGGGCTGTGTTTGACTACTAGCCAACTCCAGGTGCCCTGGCTCATTTACAATACAAATCAGGGACGGTCGGGTGGGAAGCATAAAAAATTGTGTGAGTGGTATTGGTATCTCCATCCTAACAGGGGGTCTGATGAGATAACAAGACTATTAAAGTAAAATCTGATATTGTCCTGAACACCTGAGGTCATATGACATAGGGTGGGGGAAAATTCCCTAGAAGTCCAAGTTTTCAGACCTCCACCAAAAAGCTTTCACATGTGAATTTGATTGAACAGAAAGGATGTACTGTTTGTACTTTGTACTGTTTTTACATTAATAATAACGCATATAAGAACCTTAATATGATAATAGTTGAAATTGTTTGAAATATTACCAAAACATGAATTGTTACCCTAAAGATAGTGCCCATTTGACCATCTGTAACTTCAACCAAGATACTAATTTGCCTAAAACTCTTTCAACATCACTCTTGACCACATGTTTGAACATAATCATGTAAAAAAAGAAAAAAAAAAATTACTGTTTTCTCTACGAGAATGGTTGCCTTGCTACTTACAAGCTAGTCTCAGCGCATACCATGGAGATGACACAAGTTACTATAGTAAGTATGGTGTCAGGCATAATTACACGTGGAAAACTCAGGCAAAATGACGTTCTTTGAGGGTTGTATCTTAAAAAAAGAGAGAGCAAAATGTGGTGCTCAGGGAAAATGACTAGTTGTTTGTCACTCTGCTCTCAATGAGATACTGAGGTTTCTTAGCACAACAGGATGAGCAACATTCAGACCAGGTTTCATGGCAATGATGAGGCCTGATAAGCCAGTCTAAAATCAAACTGAAATCTACAACCCCACGTAATGGAATCAATGACACACTATAACAGCAAAACCATCACTTACGCGAACAAAAAGCACATTGGCGCTAAGGTTATTTGTATGCATTGTGCGTCGTTGGCAACTTTGTGAGCATATGGCTAAAACAGGCAAAGATTTAATCAAAGTGTATCTTGACACTGCAACCCACTCTAACCGTCATCTGGGCTTGGTCAATAGACTTACAAAACATGATTGCCTACCTCACTCTCGGTACCCATATAAGGCAATGATACTTTGCAAAACATGTGACTATAAACTTTTAAATACCACATATTATATAACAATATGCTTAGTTAGATTTTTATGACTGCAAAATGGCCTTTCATGTAGGGAAAATGGCGCTAAAACTGTTTTTACAGACGTCTGCAGTAATATATTATATAATTGTCGATCATGCGACCAATAGGGGATTATTAAATGTAATCCAAATGCACAGATATTTAGGCTAACTGTTTAGCTGCATCAAAATATAGGGTATATATAAATGCGTTGTTTAAATGTTGACCTTAAAAAGAAAATCAGACAATGTAACTTCATAATAAACACAATGTATATTGCATATACGGGTATATATGTAATAAACAATGAATAATGCTTACAAAGTTAAGAATGCAGACAACAGATACTTGGCGCTAACAGATCTACAACAGCACACTATTACATCATAAATATATAAAATGGACACTAACCTTAAAGGTTCAGGGGTTTCATGTCAAACTCCATGGTTATGGTGGAAAACATATCAAAATGTTGGAAAAATAAAGAAATAATCTTTGAAAAAAAAAAGAGAGAGAGACCGATTACGTTGACGGGAGTAAAAAAAATAATAATCCAAGGGTGTGTCTAAAGCGAATCGAATGGCATGTTCAAGGTGTTGAATGAACACTGACCTGCCCTCTGCCTCTCCCACTCACTTTAGCGGTAGATAGAGCGAAAATAAGAACAGAGTAGGGGAGGGCAATGGCAGCGGTCTGAAATCTTTAAAAAAAAAGAGAAGTACTGCAAAGCAAAGCTCTCTCTCACTGTGACTCATCTCCCAAGTAACCACTGACAGACAGGCTGTAAAACAGAACTTCAGCATAGGGCCAATCAGCTGCAAGGGCAGAGCTAATATGCAAATGAGTTCAGGTGAGCTCAAGCTGCAGTTTCGATTGGCTAGCAAGTGCAGTGGGGGAGGGGAAACCTGGACAAAGTAACAATCAGACTACACCTTGAGCTATGTGAGATGGGTAACACAAGACTGGGTAAGAGTGTAAAGGTTTTCATCAGCTTGACGTAGACGTGGCAAGAGTACAGCAAGCACGGGGAATTCTACCCAGATGAAATACTCTTTCAAAACGAGATGTTTCAAGGACAGCGAAAACTAAATCCACATCAACTGACTAGATCTTTCTGTAGTTCTTGTTTTTTGTGGTGCCAGAGCTTTTATTTGAGAAGGTGAAATGGGAGTGGCCCTCCAAGCTATATGACACCCCATAAAGCACCCTTTATGTTTGATATGAGGAATGAAAAAGGCCATGCGTTATAAAACTGGAAGAGCCACCCCACCTGGTTGCGCTGTTGAAAAGAACACAGACGAGAAACACTTCCAATTCTTCCAAGGCCCTTCCACTGATTTCTACGTTGCCATGTTCTTCCAACCAAAGGGAAAGTACAGAATGTGACTCTGCTGCTTGGTTCAGCTATATTCCAATATTTCAGCATTAAAGGGATAGTTCACCCAAATCATTATTTACTCACCCTTATGTTGTTCCAAACCCGTATGAATTTCTTCTGTGGAACACAAAAATATATATTTTGAAGAACTTAAGAACCATACAATGAAACTCAATGGGGTCCAAAACCACACTGGATTGCACGAATAAACAGCAAGACATTTTTCAAAATATCTTTTACGTTCCACAGAAGAAAGAAAATCTTACAGGATTGGGACGACATGAGGTCGAATCCTCTGCGCCAAATACCCCTATTGAAGTGACCAAGAAACCAAATGAATGTCAATCTCCCATTAGGTTTCTTCACCCTATTTTTGTGCATATGGGGCATAACCCTTGTCAAGCATTTTTATCTGAGACAATCCAACTGACAAACAGGAAGCCAGGGTCTGTGGCATGGCGTGGCTTAGTGAAAAGCGCTGAAGTGCAGTGAGTTTTGTCAACACACCATTTAGACGAGTAAATGAGACAGTGAATGCACTCTAAACAGACAAATAGTCATTTAATTTATACTTTGCCAACTACAGTGTCGGTTACGTTAGGGCTTACTGGCAACTACCTGCCTCTTTCTGAGAAAACCTTAACTGTACCGATGAACTGTTGGGGTGTAAAAAAAAAAAAAGCAGTCAGGCCTCTTGGGCAACCTTTCTGTCTAGTGGGCGTGTTCTCAACTATCTTAAGAATACGAAGCCATAGTATTATGTATTGCATACACACCATCCTTTACAGACCAAAGAGGATTACAAGAAAGCAGAAAAGGTAAGAAAAGGGAGAAAAATAAGTACCATGAGGTGGAGTGCTGGGTATTATGTTCAATTCAGCACTGAGAACGTGATGGAAAGTGTGTAAACACACGGCGAGCACCTGCCCCTCTATGCCAACAACATGTGTGACATGAGGCAATGATTATATAAACCGTCTGTGACATCAAGTGGGGCACATCAAACAAGTCCAACAGGCTCCACATCACTGAAATAAATGCACAAAGAGATGAGATTTGCATATAATATTAGTGTTTCCCTAGAAATGGCACAGCACCCAACAAACACATAATACATAGTAAAATTAGCTAATCATAATAAGAATAACTCTTTTTGTTTAAACAAATTTGCTTGGTTGTATGAAATAATAGATGAACAGGTCACATTTGCCTCAATGGAAACAAAAGACAGTACAAAATGACTGTCATTATCTAATTAGTAAAATTAGATGTTCACAGTATAGATCAATGTAATATAATATTTGTTTGTATACAATTATGACCTTGGATAAATTATGCATGAGTAAATTATGTACGAGTAATTTAATTCAACCTACAATATAAATAAACAGCAAAGAAATTAATGAGGAATGATTTTTCTCTACAGAGAGTGTTGAGAGAATTCAGTTGCCCTCACAGCAACCAGACCCTGATCACATGCCTTTGCTGACAAAGTTCAAAGACACACCTTTCCTATACAGCCTAAAAATAAAACCAGCCCACTCGCCTTTACTAGCGCTGCATGACTGAGTCCAAGCAAAACACAGCAGAGCCACAAGAAGGCCTCATTTTCTGCTGTGTGCCGGTTTTAAAATGTAGATGGCACACTTTGGTTTTGCCCATGTCCGGAGTAGATCTTTTTTTTTGTCTCCTCCTATAAATTTACTTCAAATTAATTGCTGACATAAAAATATAACTGTGGCTTGAGTGCTCTCAGGAATGCTAATGTAAACTCATTCCTAGGTAAAATTCAATTTACTCTAACCAGCTGACATGTTCTGTCTTGATATAAAATCTTTACAGTTTGTAGTGAGAACATTAAATAACTTGTAAATGTCTTATAATCAGTGATGCTATTGGAACTCCACAGTGCCCTTTATAATATGACTTAGCCTACATCACTGTGAGATGGAAAACAGTGGCATATTAGAACAGGTCCAAAAATAGTCATAGCCTTGAGATAATTGACAAAGACAAAGCACTTCTCAGGGCTGGTCGTGTTGTTTGTGAGAAACTGAGGTCAGGTGGTGACTGCTTCAAGAGGCTTTGTGCACAAAGAATAGCCCTCCCTCCATAGCATCCTGGTTAAGGGCCGTCCTCAAAGGACCAAGGGGCAATAGAAAAAGGCAGTGAAGCATTCTAATTAAATCCAGACAGAAGGGCCATGAAGTCAATATATACGAGGAAGATACTAAAATCTGGTATCTTGTAGGAATTATGGTTTTAAGCATGCCTGTATGTGGATGAAAAACAAGGTTTCCTGGCTTTAAATGAGCTTTACCAACAATTTTCACCACAAACATGACCTTCTAAAGTCTTTGGTGACCAGAATTCAGTTCATTACATGCTTCAATACACTGACAAAGTAAATGTTAATTGAATGCCACGCCACAATCCACAGGATTCCAAGGTAACAACTTTTGTAAATACGAATGTAGACCAAAAGATTATATCTGGACAACCTTGAGAAATCCTGTCAGCTAAGAATGACGAGAGATGTGGGATTATGAACAGATACAACATTCCTGACCTCAGTAAGAAATGAGTGGATGTGAAGTGGGATAGGGGGAGTTTCAAAGGAAATTCCGTTACTGCACTAAGGTGCCGAGTCATTCCTTCCATGACCCACAATGTGCAATAAAGTGTCCACGTCTCTAACAGGTCAAAACCCTCCCAAACAACATGTGATGATGTAGGTTTTGTTTGATCCGTTTTTGAGGCTTTATGACCCCAAAACTCAACTATTTTCTGCAATTCTCCAGCTGTGATCCTTGGAGAGTGTTTGGCCACTCAAGCTATCCTCCTCACCTTGCATTAAGACTGTTTAGACACATCCTCTTCCAGGCAGGTTTGTAACATTCTGTTTATTGAAAATTCTTAATTATTGTCCTGATGGTGGAAATGGACATTTTCAAAGCTTTAACTCTTTTCTTACAGCCACTTTCTATTTTGTAAAAGTCAACAATCTTTTCTTGCACTTCAGAACTATATTCTTTGGTTTTTCTCCTTGTGATGGATGATTAAGGGAAGTTGGCCTTTGTTTTCCCTCATATTTATATTCCTGTGAATCAGGAAGCCATGGCTGGACAAATTCATGTTTGTAGTTACCTGGTGTGCTACAAATGCAGAGTAAATATGAAAGGGAATATATTTATGAGAGATATTTGACTCATAATAATTTCTAGGGGTGTCAATAATTGTGGCCAATGTGTATTTCAGAAAAGCATTTATTTCATGATGAGATTGTTCCCCCACTTTCAATTGTTTTACTTCAATGAAACGTTAGTTTTTTGTGAAAATTTTAAATAAAAGATCAAAAGGATTAACAATGCAGATTTATTTTCAAAGGTTCTTTGTTTATTTTTACTAAGGGTGTCAATAATTCTGGCCACGACTAACTTTCTTTCATCTGTGGAACAGAATAAATTTGGAAGAATGTCATAAGTGCGCAGAGGGCAAGATTAACCAAATTATTATTTTTTTGTGTTCAACAACAACAACAAAAAAGTTGTACAGGTTTCATTTTTGGGTGAACTGTCCCTTTAAAATGTAAAAAAATTTAAACCTGAGTAGATTGTGTGTGTGCTGGATAAAGTTAACAAAATGACTGCAATCAGGTATGCAGGAAAAATAAATGAGTTTACACCACAAATATAACAATGCAGTCAAGACATCAATTCACTATCTCTATGAGGGGAATATTATTTGGTCTGCCTAAGAAAGTAACCATCCCTTACCGGACAGTATACGATCCTCACAAAACCTCAACCAATTAAACATTAGACAAAGAGCAAGGCCAACATTCCAGACAGTTCAAATCACACATCTGTGGATGGAGAGCATTGACCAGATCCGTAGAGAAAAACACAATATAAAAGCACTGAGACACTTGACACTATTTAAATCCTAATTCTTTATCAGTCTAACTTGTCATTTATCTCAGACCGTGAAATTGCCACTGCCTTTCGCTCACATTATAGTAAAATACAACATAAGCTGAGCTGCTAATGAAGGTTGTGGGCTCTGTTTTAGAGCTTAAATGGTCGAATGGATGTTTTCTCTCTGAGGACCAGACACTGGAAAGCATTATGCTAGATGAATACCTAATGTCTCAGTTTACTTAAATAATTTAAATCCAAGCCTGAGGGAGGAACGACCAATTGTTCTGAAATTGCCATTAAAAATATAAGCAAAATAAATAAGTAAACAGGTACAGTATTTTTAAAAATGTTTTTACTTTGCTTTATTTTATCCCTGTCTAGCAAGACATTCGCTGAATGAACGTTTCACTGGACTGAGGCGCACTGGCGATGATGTACAGT